ACAGTCCAGTGTGACGGGGAGTGTGGGAAAGAGGTGAAGAGGCGAGTGCAGGCAGGTTGGAGTGGGTGGAGAAAAGTGTCAGGAGTGTTGTGTGACAGAAGAGTGGAAGCAAGAATCAAAGGAAAGGTGTACAAAACAGTAGTGAGACCAGCTATGCTGTATGGGTTAGAGACTGTAGCAGTGAGGAAAAGACAAGAGGCAGAGGTGAAGGTAGCAGAGATGAGGATGTTGAGGTTCTCTTTAGGAGTGACCAGGATGGACAGGATTAGGAATGAGCACATCAGAGGGACAGCTCAGGTCGGATGTTTTGGGGACAAGGTCAGAGAGGCCAGATTGAGATGGTTAGGACATGTGCAGAGGAGGGATAGTGGTTATATTGGTAGAAAGATGTTGGAGATGGGGCTGCCAGGCCAGAGGTCAAGAGGAAGGCCAAAGAGGAGATATATGGGTGTGCTAAAAGAGAACATGAAGTTAACTGGTGTGAGAGTAGAGGACGCTGAGGATAGAATTAGGTGGAAACAGATGATTTGCTGTGGTAACCCCTAAAGGGAACAGCCGAAAGAAGAAGATTATTTGAATATTATTCCATTTCTTTTGTACATACTATATGTTTTTCTTATATGCAAAATACGAAAAAGTTCTCAGTTTACATTTCTTCACTTCCCATCAACCCACAACCAAAAGAACAGCCCAGTTATCATTTCATGCTACATTCTTTGTAGTGGTTAAAGCAAACTGAATGTAATCAAAATAGGATCAGAATATAGTTAATAGTTATTAATGGTTAATATTAGTAAATGCACAACATGTAGTATGGTCAGGGTGAACTTTCTGCTCCTTGTACGGGTCTCTGCAAGGACATCAGGCGCCAAACTTCCTGTTGTTTAGCACAGTGTGCAGGGGGTTCCCAAAAATAGAGAAGTGTATCCAGGGTGGGGTCCCGGTTCGATGTCAAGATCTGGACAATCACTGGAAGTGGGGAATGGCCATTTAGTTAGCTGCAGTTGATCAGTGTGTGTGAAAACCTGAGAAGAAGACTAGAACCGGTGACTGACAGCCTGACTTTCTCTGCAGAGATCCAGACTGACACAGGTGATCCTGTTTCTCACCCTCTCAATCATAATCCTAAAATATTGTTCAATAAATGATAATTGGCACTGCAGTGATTCTCCCTGTGTATTGATTCTTGTGACCATACCTCGTTCTTCCATCAGATTTTTGTTTCAGTTACAAGTAATTTGACAGTATTGCATCAGTACTTTGACACATTTACATCATCATCATCATCATGTGAATGTATTTTTGTTATATCTACCCATATAAACAAAAATAGTTACTTCTTGGAGCAATAAAACCCATTCTGATCTCTTGAGAAAGATTTTACAGAGTTTATAATATTAAGACACTTGGAATTAAATTGTCTAAGTGTAATCATTTAGCTATAGTTATTTCTAACAGTCAGTCATAACATGACTAGTAGGTGTTTTCCATCCTGTCCTATTTTTTTTATTGTTCTCTCAACACTCCCTGGTTATAAGTAGATCATAACAAACATAATTTGTTATGATCTACTTATAACAGTAAAATTGTTGCTATAATTTAATGCATTACTTTTAGTAGTAAAGTCATGTAATGGCTTTTTTCATGTGTAATGAATACTACTGTATAGTGCTGTTTTCGACTAATTTGCCCTGCACTGCCCAACAAACACAATTCTAGCCACTTTTTTGAGGGCATATGTAGGACAAGAGGACATTAATCATATTTGTAACAACAGGAGGCAGTGGGTGGATGTCGTGTGGCACGTGATGAGCCAGGCTCATCTCCCAGGCATGCACCAGATGAACACTCAGTCCCTTGAACATGGCTCTGAGAACCTTGTCAAACTGTAGTAAGTACCAGTCGCTGAGAAACAGCGCAATATCAAGGTTTAAAGCTCTGAGGTTTACAGTCCTGATGATGACTAATGTGCCTGGAGCCCTGTCCAGCAGCCGCACAACAGCCCTACGGATGTCCTGCAGCCGCCGGATGTACATCTCGATGGGAAAAGGGCAAAAATGTGCCCCGATGGAAACAACGACAACAGTGTTGGTGCCTCCAGTTAGTCCATCTAGCTCATTGGCAATGTAATGCAGCTCGGCAATGGGAACTGTGATAGCGGAGATAATAGGAGGACCGTGGCAGTTGAAGGTCATCATGATGTCATTTGCTAGATCCAAGGCCATTAAAGGTCCAAATTTGTTGTTTCTGTACAGGTTAAACTCCTTGAGATCTAAACATATTACAGAGGTAACAGATTAAGCATCAGTGTCAATACAATCAAACTGCTGCCAGAAATTGCTGTGAATATCTACCTGGTAGTGCATTGGTCAAATATTGAAACCACTGCCTGGCGGTGGAGTCTCCATACAGGTGGACCATCTTGCCTTTCAGACACTGACTGATGGCAGAGGAGGTTTTGAACTGGCGAACTGTGGTGCCTCCTAGTGCTCGCCACACACCCTGGTAGTAATAGCCGGAGGGTCTAAACGTCCCACAATTGTTATTTATCTCTGGTTGACCTGAAGAAGTTCACCAATTAATAACAAATGTAAATACAGTAATGATTGTTAAAATGTTGTGTGTTGTATGAAGATAATAAGCTAGCTGGATTTTACCAACACTGCATGAAAGTAAAATCCTGTCTGCAAAGTGGAAGGACAAGAAGAAGAGAGCACCAGTTTTCATTTCTAATTGTGGCTAATGTACCTGCTAACCGTATTGTGTTTTATAAGACTTAGTCTTAAAATAAAAGTTACATAAGGGCGACAAAGTGTTCTTTCTGGGTTTTTACCCCTTAACTGACTCCAAAGGAGAGTTGCACAAAAATTCCTATATGCCTAGACTGTTTATGCATAAATGGAAAATAAAAATCTTGAATTTTGAACAGCTATAAAAGTGACTATAACAAGTGTAACTAGACAACACTCAGAGAGTGCAAACCTCCACCAAGCGGCAAGCAATTTTTCCCATAATGCCATAAAAGCAATATTCCCATTATAGCTTTGCCCTCATAATTGCTTGACAATGAAAATCTACTGCTGGCATTTGGAATGATGCTGGTATGATTATTAGTTTGAAAGTTGACTGGAACACCGGCATCCTCGCCAGGTTACTACTGTGCTGTGAATGCTATGTAGCTGCCTGCTAATAGAGCTAACTTGGTATCTTGGTAGCTAGACACACAGTCAACAGCTTTTCCAAATCTAACAATGGTTAATAACCTTTTAAATTATTATAATTATTCTTGTATTCAAACTACAGTACAGATCACCACCAAAATCTAATCAATTGTTCCGTGGGCTATATCCTGCCTCTCAAAATCAGTTCATTACTTTTTGGGTTATGCTGCTAACAAACAACCAAACAAACCAACAAATGCCAGAAAAACATAAACCCCACAGGAAAGTGGCAGTTCAGTTGGGTGTGTGTGTGTTTCGTGTCACTTTCTTGCATTTTTTATATTGAATTTTATTGTTATTATATGCACTGGTAGTGGTGGTAAACGTGCTCTACCTGTCATGTTTGGCAACACAGTGACAGCAGCAAGTCCTGAAGCCCGAATGGAGACTTTCAGGTTGACACCACTGATGGAAAGCACATATAATAAAATATCTGTTATACACGTGACAATATTAAGAACATAAGTAAAAGAAAAAATAGTAATTTATACATATAGGTAATACTCCAATTATGTATTTATTAGGGCTGGGCAAGTTAACGCGTTATTTTCATGTTAACGTAATACTTCGTTAACGCCGACAATTATTTTATCGCGCATTAATGCAGTTTATTTTTATTATTATTTTCAAAGTCCTTTGCTCACTGGCTCTGAATACACATACAGACAAACCATGGGTCACAGGAGAGGTGGGATGTTGATCAGCACTAGCTTGAGATGGGCGTCATCACGCGTCTCAACCAATAAGAGCATTTGGGGTGGGTGTAAGACCGCTGCAGCACTCACGTCAACTGGAATTGAATAGAACTGGCAGGGACAGAAAAATGGAGAAAGGTAAAGGACTCTTACGTGGAAATTTAAATCTCTTCCGCACGGCGGAGTTGATGGAACCAAAGTCATTTGTAGCCACTGCAAAGATGAATTTTCTTATCACCGGAGCAAGGGCGTAGCTGGGGGGGAGGATTTCGGGTTTAACCCCTCGAAATATTTTGTTATTAGTAC